GGCCAATTGGCTACAACAGCAATCTTCTCAGGGTCAGTCGAAACTCCCTTATTAGATATCACATGTCCCAGGTATTTGACCTCCGTCTGGAAGAAACAACACTTCTCCAACTTTACCTTAAGACCCTCTTGGTGCAGTCGGCTCAAAACCTTGTCCAGACGTTCCAAATGTTGATCTATAGAACTGGAAAATACGATCGCATCGTCAAGGTAAAGCAACAGAGTTTGAAAGTGCTGGGACCCAAACATGCACTCCATTAGTCGCTGAAATGTACTTGGTGCGTTACATAACCCAAAGGGCATACGATTAAATTCAAAAAGCCCAAAAGGGGTACAGAAAGCGGTCTTACTTTTATCCCTCTCTTCAACAGGCACCTGATTGTAGCCACTTGCCAGATCTAAGGTTGAAAACCAGCGGGCACCTGAAAGAGCATCAAGGGACTCCTTGATGCGAGGGAGGGGAAAAGCGTCTCTCCGAGTCCTGCGATTAAGCTGGCGATAATCCACACATAACCGCAGAGTACCATCTTTTTTCTTCACTAGGACTATTGGCGATGCATAGGGGCTGCAACTCTCCCTTATCACCTGACTTTCCAAAAGTTGATTTATATGTGCCTTCACAGCATCATATTCAGCCGGTGGGATGCGCCTATATCGTTGTCGTACAGGGGCCTCATCAGTTAGGGGGATCTCATGGCTAATAAGGTTAGTACAACCCAAATCGCCCTCATGGGTAGCAAACACTGACTGATACTTTGTCAATAACCCAATAGCTTTACTCTGCTCTGAATCAGAGAGGGCGGATAGGTCAACTGACTGTATCAGCTGCTGCACTTTACCAACTTGCCCCTGTTGCATACTGACTGTTGCCTGGACTTTCCCCACCCCCAATGGAAAAGAAACCTCCTCAACTCCTGCAGGTAAGCTAACTATTTGTGCCGGCTTTAACGTCCCTAAAGCGCAACGCGAAGGAACGCGGGCATCAACACTACCAACGTTAATCACAGGAACATAAGCAGTACCCTTAAACATCTGTACCACAGCAGGAACCACTAGTAATCCAGCAGGAAGCATAACATTGGGAAATGGCTCAAAAACAACAGTCTTAGACTGATCAGTAAGGTGCTGAGAGCAGGTAGCCGCCACTAATTTCATGGCGCCCCCTGGTAGATGGGCAGGGTACCTACCCCTAACTCTTGCAATCCCGGTGCTGGGCCTAAGCGACAAGGGAGTATTATGACAAAACTGGAGAGCCTGTTTCCACCCCTTCGGGGCCTGCTGGACACATGGAAGGCTGAAAAGAGAAGCACCATGCTGACTGAACAACAAGTCATAACACTCACCAATAATGTTCATTCCCAAAACACCTGGAACATTTGTTTTTGACCATAGACCAGGGGTGTCTTTTACCACAAGGATCCCCTTCTTTGGTATACACTTTCCAAAAATCTCAACATTCACTTCTGCATAACCAACATAAGGTATTTCAAGCCCATTGGCGGCTTTGAGTTGTAACCAATTACAAGAATAAAGCTGTTCACTAAAATGTTGGGAAAAAAAACTTTCTGTTACCGTGGACACCATTGATCCAGTATCCAAAAGGCATGGTACCCTGACCCCCCCCCCCCCCATCAATACCATAACTGACGGGCATGGTCCTACTAATTTCGGTAAATTGAGGCGGCTTACCTCATTGGGATTACTTGAGTCAAAGTTATCCCCTTCTGAACCGTGACTCAACGACTCAGAGGGAGTTAGTTTTCCGACGGCTGCTGCTGGGATCCTACCCCCTGTCTGAAATGAGACTGTGATCGAGGTTGAACACGTTCATTGTCACAATGGCTAGCAAAATGACCCGGCTGTTGACAACGTCTACACACGACTTGATTACGATGCATAGGGGGTCGTTTGGGAGAATGGTGTAACCGGGAAAGCTGTTCCCCAAGCTGGTTTAACTGTGCTTGTTGTTGTTTTAACAGTTCTTTTATTTCGGCAATTTCAGCCGGATAGTTACTGATACTAGAGATATTTGATGTAGTAGATACCTGCGTAGCACACAATGAAGGCACAGAATAACTCCGTGCCCGCCCTTTTAAAGACATACCTTCCCGCTCCCAACGAATGGCCTCTTTATGAATATCTAAAAGTGTATGGCTTGGATGGACTCGGACAATTTGTTTCAGTGCCCTTGGAAGGGCTGGATCAGTCACATGTTCAACAAACTGGTCTCTTAACAATATGGCAGAATTAGGCATTGCATCTGGGGCAGTTTCCAACACCTCATTTATAAGCCCAAACAGAGCATGAGAATACTCCTGTAATGATTCACCCTCAAATTGTTTACGGGAAAAGAATTTTTCTTGCAATGCCACATAAGACTGAGAACACCCATACATTTCTTGGAGGGTAGAAAGAATCTTTTCTGGATCCTCTCTCTCTTCTCTAGACCTATATTTAATTTCATTTTTGGCTTCCCCCTCCAAATGGTCATAGATAAAGTAAGCTTGATCAACAGATGTCAAACCCCGGGCCGCATACTTGCGCGGACCTCATCTACCCATTCGGCTATTCCAATTCCCACAGTACCTCTAAAGATAGGGCACTTCCTTTCCCTGGGCACATACAACAACCGATCATGGGACCCATTAGACTGAGCCGAAGGCCTGGGAATATCAGGAACAACGTTAATGGCTTCAGTTCTTGTAGGAGCAGTCTGAGCCTCTACAAGGCGTTGATTATCAGTCCTTAACTGCTGAACCAATTCCCGCAACTCTTGCAACTCCATGTCCATGGTCACCAGGCACAGTTCCTTCCGTCGTCCTCACTAGAAGCAATCTCCTGGCGAAACACCTTCCCGTTGATAGGCCACTGCTGTTTTGTATAAAAAAATAAAAAAATAAAATAAAAACACCAACCGCTGAGTAAACCACTGATAAAAAAAGAATATAGCTATACACCTGGAGGTCACGTCCCGCTTTACACAAGAAAACTGCTACCCTGCCGACTACGCCAGATGTAACCGTGGCGTCCCTTCTGCCACACTAGTCCCGACCACGCCACCGGGGTTATATACCCACGGACATAACAGCAACCCAAGTTCAAACAAACAGTAATTGATAAAAGAACGAAGACGTGACCTTCAAGTTTAATAACTTTTATTGGCAATGGGTTATAAACCTCTGAATAAATAATCACTTTTAGTTGTGTGTATTATAAAAGGAGCAATAAAACTTAATCACATAAACTTTAAGTTATCATTAAATAGCTCAATTACAAATAGGAGTAACCAAGCCTGTGTAGAAAATAGAGGGTCATTGGCCGCGGACCCGCCGCCCTAGGAGCACACACCACACGTGTACTATTCTCAAGATGATAAAATCACTTCTAAAAGCAAATTCAGTGCATAATACAAACCACTCTACACTCCCAAATCAATACGCATGCAGTGCAGGAAATCTCACACCAGCTACAGTGAAGGAAAGGCCCAAACGACCCCAGAGGAAGTACTCCAACACAGGCTGGCTCCTAAGACACAAAAGAATATAAGTTAACACTCCCCTTTACATATACTCAAACACAGCGGTTGGTCTAAACCAAAATCAAATGATATAATCAGTACACAAAAATAATAAACCACAATTTAAGCAGCAGAAAATCAATATATAACCAAAACTTTGAGGTTATTATAACGAAAATAAATCATAAACAAAACAGCAGGGCCTAGACGTCAGAGGTCCACGTGCATAGGGCTCCACAAAGGAGGATCTGCCAAATAAACACAAAACAAACCATAAATATCTAAAATACAGATCCCAATAGACCTCTGCCACAAATTCCATGCAACATCATTACACCTTTACTTTACAGAATTGTTAGATAATTCAATGATTATACATGAAATGTTAACACCAAAGCAAACCTAACAATCTAACACACACATACCTCTATCGTAATCCAAGAATAAAACAGAATGGGTGAATGATTCGTGGCTATGGATTAAACACGGCATCCAGCGCTCGGCACTAGCCCCATTACATCACCCACGCGCTCACACTCTTGTATCAAGGACTTCCGCCGGCTCGCTATGCGCTTCGGGTCGCAACACCGGAAGGAGACGGAAAAGGTCAAATCATCAGGAAGTCATCCCGTCTACACGGTTGCGCTATTTATAGCATTAAATAAATACACGCCCCGCCCTATACCGAATCCTTACTCGGTCACACATAATTACATGCAACTAGCCCTATAGTAAGTACATGTTAATTAATATTACTCAGTACTTAAATATATAATTACACTGTAACAATGACACCTTAAAATAAAGTGTAACCCTCAAACCGAGAGTAAGTACATGCAGTAACACTTTATCTGACAGAATCTCTGTTACACGTGTTACACGCACTTAATATGCGAATAACTGTAACTTACCGTATGCATAATTACATGCAACTAGCCCTATAAGTACTTGTTGTTAATTAATATTACTCAGTTCTTAAATATATAATTACACCTAAAAATAAAGTGTAACCCCCAAACCTGAGTTTAAGTACACGCAGTAACACTTTATCCGACAGAATCTCTGTTACACGTGTTACACGCACTTACTATGCGAATAACTGTAACTTATGCATAATTACATGCAACTAGCCCTATAAGTACTTGTTGTTAATTAATATTACTCAGTTCTTAAATATATAATTACACTTTAAAATAAAGTGTAACCCCCAAACCAAGAGTAAGCACAAATCCCTCTGTAACAGGAACACCTTAAAATAAAGTGTTTTTTCTGCTTCCCGAGTTCAAGAAAGGACTTTGTTGTGAGCAGAATGATATAAAAGCGTATGAGGCCTATAAAGAGATCAGCGGCGACTCGCTCGCAACCTTTGCTTCAGTTAAACATGGATGTGAGCAGCATTCCTGCTCCGCTTACACATTAAACCCGCTTGAAACGAATGCATCCTCACACCTCCTGTTTGTACATAACCCACCCATCCCACACACACACACACACACACACACACACACACACGCGCGCGCACGCCGTCAGGATGGACACGACCAGCGAAGCCTCCAGCGCTCAGGAACGGCCCAAATGGGACAACAAGGTCCAGTACCTGCTGACCTGCGTGGGGTTCGCCGTGGGACTCGGGAACGTCTGGAGATTCCCGTATCTCTGCCAGATTTACGGAGGAGGTGCTTTTATTGCAGATTTTGTGAGAATAAACCCAGAATATGATATAATGACGAATGAATTTGAGCGGATTTAGATGAACTTCTATAGTGGACGTCCGTCTCTTGTTGTTTTTGACAGATAAAAAAACAATGTTGGTATATAAAAATAAAGTGTTTCTGTCTTGTTTTCCAGCACAAACATTCTGGAATCAAGACACATTTACATCAGAAGCAAAACGACTGAAGATATTAAGTCTTGTTTACTGAAAAAAATCATAATCTTGTTTTCCCTTTATTTTTCTGACCAGATCGGCAGATATTAGTTCTTGTTTTCAGCACAAACTCACTTCATTTTGATCAGTTTTTCAATAATCAAGACTTAATATCTTCAGTTATTTTGCTTCTAATCCACAGGTGAAACTAGAAAAATCTTGCAAAAGTTCATTTATTTCAGTAATTCAATTTAAAAGGTGAAACTAATATATAGACTTATTACATGCAAAGTGAGATATTTCAAGCCTTTATTTGTTATAATTTTGATGATTATGGCTTACAGCTTATGAAAACCCCAAAGTCAAAATTAGAATATTGTGAAAAGGTTTTCATAACTATATCACAACTATAACAAATAAAGGCTTGAAATATCTCACGTTGCATGTAATGAGTCTATATAATATATTAGTTTCACCTTTTAAGTTGAATTACTGAAATAAATGAACTTTTGCACGATATTCAGATTTTTCGAGTTTCACCTGCAAATGCATCTTGATTTCAGAATGTTTAGATTTTTGTGCGTGACTTGATTAAAGATTAAATTGAGGAATTTCAGTGTCAAAATTGTTTAAAAGTTGTGTGTGACTTCACGATAAGGTCTCATTAGTTATTAACATTAACCAACGACGGGCAATTTATGTATTTACAGCTTGCATTTGTTTAATGCACTTTTATAAAAATGCAATTGTTCATGTTACTAAACAGATCCTCTTGATATTAAAAATAATATTTTTATATATATATTATATTCGTACAAGCTGAAATTAACATTAAGATTTATAAATGTTGTCTTGCTTTATTGTAAGGTCTGCTAACGAATGCAGTTACTAATGAAATAACCAATGAAACCATTCGGTAAAGTGTAAAACAAATAACTTTAAAATGTTGTTGAAAGCAATACCTTTCCTTCCTGAAAATTAAAGTTAATAAATAACAAATCAAGTTAGGTAATAATAAAATTGATCACAACAATGACGACAAAACACTTTTCCACTCTTTTTTTCCGTTGCGAGGAAGGCTCAATATAGTTGGAAAAGGTTTGTTAGATTATTAAAATGTTCTTCACACTAAGAAAAGGTTCTTTGAGGAACCAAAACCGGTCCTTCTATTGCATCAGTGAAACACGTTCTGGAACCTTTATTAGTAAGAATGTATTAAGTGTTTTACATTAGCACTCGTGCATTTAGCAGAGCAATGCCAGGTTTATCAGACAACTACATGCGGAGGAGAAAAGTGCTGATTTCTTTATCTAAGTACCCACATCTGAAGGTTGTGTGTGTGTGTGTGAGGTGCGTTCCTGATCCCGTACCTGATCGCGCTGGTCTTCGAGGGTCTTCCTCTGCTGTATCTGGAGCTGGCGATCGGCCAGAGTCTGAGGAAGGGCAGCATCGGCGTCTGGCACTCCATCTCTCCTCTGCTGGGCGGACTGGGTGAGCTGCACATCTCCCAAACATCTGCAGGACTTCTTATCTGTGCATTTATCTTTTGTCAAATCAATTAGTTCATTAATGTGATTCAGATAGCATGATATTTTACGTTTTTTATTTATTAAACCAATATCCTTTGTTGTATCAACTAAAAATTTTCAGGTAATTATTTTTTTTTTTTTACATTGTAGAGTTACATTCAAGCTATTTTAAAGCAACACTAAGTAAGATTTTTTACCTTAAAATAATATTTCCAAAATCGTATCAGTGGTTCATTAAGTCGTAACAGGGTGAAAGGCACTTCTGCATCCCTATATCTGCTATAACCACGCTATGTAAGATTGCCAGATCGGGTCGCGTTTCTGTAGTTCTAATGAGACATAAGAAAACTACAAATTTGACTTGCTTTACGTCAAGCGTTACAATAGTCATTATTTAGTTTTTCTTCGTTTCTGATGTCGCAATACATCATACTTTCATGAAATCATGCATCATAATCTAGCTTGTCTGTGGACGTCGTTCATTCCAAAGCCGGCGCTGGATAAACAGCGAGTGTGTGTGCGACAGTATAGGCTACGCTAGGCTAAATTATTTACGACAGCAGTAATGGACAATTCCACTTCCAACCTGTAGGGCGACCGCAGAGGAAAAGTTACTTGGTGTTGCTTTAAGGCATGAAGAAAATGTTTAAATATGTAATTTTGGTGATCAGAGATGAGTTTTAAGGGATAAAATGATTGACTACAGGGGGACTTTAATTAATGCACACTTTACTGATCGTGTATGTTCTTTTTTTCACCGTCTGTGATTTTGAGCAAATGTTTAATGTCTTAGAGCGTGTCACTGTGTCTTAAACGCTTTATGAGTTCATAAAGGCATGATTGAGTTCTGACTGTAAACGGCAGGTGTGGCGTCGATGATCCTCTCCTTCCTGGTGGGCTTGTTTTATAACACGATTCTGGCCTGGGTTCTGTGGTATTTCTTCCACTCGTTTCAGGAGCCGCTGCCCTGGAGTCAGTGTCCCATCAACGACAACAACACGGGTACAGGGACACAAGCACCCTCATTACACGCTCATTACTGTAATATAGTGAACACTAAATGAAGCAGCATGATGCTCAGGACGTAATTAAGAACAAGATTAAATACAATAGGAGTAATATACAATATAGGAGTAAAATGAATTCATGCCTGTCAAGAATATAATATTTCACACCACAATAAAATTTTTAAAAAAGTAATAATATACATAAATATATATATATATTAATTAAATAAATGCATAAAAATTGCATAATACATAAAAATATAAATATACATTAAAAATAACAAATATATAAGTATACATATTTAAAATATAAATCAATAAAAAGTAAATAATGCATTAAAATAAAACCAATATAAAATAAATAAAAAATAAATACATTGCAAATAAACATTACAAATAAATACAAATAAATGATAAATTCATTGAAAATAAATCAAATAAATATAAACAACAAGTTAATAAATATGTAAAAAAAATCAATAAAAATAAACAAAAATATAAATACATTAAAAATAAACAATACATACAAATGAAATGAAAGCATAAATACATTGAAAATAAATAAGTAAATAAAAATATAAATACACTGAAAAAACATAAATAGAAACAAAATCAATAAAATGATAAATACAATGAAAATACATCAAATAAATATAAACAAAGTAAATAAATATACATTCAAATAAATAAACAAAAAAATATAAATACATTAAAAATAAACATTAATAAATACAAATAGAATAAGTTATAAATATATTGCGAATACATAAAATAAATATAAATAAAAAGTAAATAAATGTATTTTTAATGTAAATTAATTTACTTTTTATTTATTATTAGATGCATTTTCAATGTGTTTTTCATTTTATTTATTCTATTTTTATTGTATATACATTGAAAATACATCAAATAAACATCTACAGAAAGTTAATAATAAACAATAAAAATAAATAAACAAAAATATAAATGAAAACAAATATTCTATTTTTAATGTATAAATACACTGAAAATAAATCAAATAAACATTTACAGAAAGTAAATAATAAACATTAAAATAAACAAACAAAAATATAAATGAATATAAATATTCAAATTTTTAATGTATAAATACATTGAAAATACATCAAATAAACATTTACAGAAAGTAAATAATAAACATTAAAAATAAACAAACAAAAATATAAATGAATACAAATCTATATAAATTGAAATGATTATGAGTGAATACTGTAACACATGATGTGTGTGTGTCTCGCAGGTTATGTGGAGGAGTGTGTGATCAGCACACCGGTGAACTACTTCTGGTACCGGCAGACGCTGAACATCTCGCCGGGCCTGGAGCAGAGCAGCTCTCTTCAGTGGTGGCTGGTGCTGTGCCTCGCCTCGGCCTGGGGCATCGTCTACATCTGCTTCATACGGGGCATCGAGACCATCGGGAAGGTGCCCGAGCTTTAGCATATACCGCATCACAAGCCACGTTTACATTACCCTTCAAACTGCAGGAGCTTTAGCATATACAGCATCACAAGCCACGGTTACATTACCCTTCAAACTGCAGGAGCTTTAGCATATACAGCATCACAAGCCACGTTTACATTACCCTTCAAACTGCAGGAGCTTTAGCATATACAGCATCACAAGCCGTGTTTACATTACCCCTTCAAACTGCACAAGCTTTAGCATATACAGCATCACAAGCCGTGTTTACTTTACCCTTCAAACTGCAGGAGCTTTAGCATATACAGCATCACAAGCCGTGTTTACATTACCCTTCAAACTGCAGGAGCTTTAGCATATACAGCATCACAAGCCACGTTTACATTACCCTTCAAACTGCAGGAGCTTTAGCATATACAGCATCACAAGCCGTGTTTACATTACCCTTCAAACTGCAGGAGCTTTAGCATATACAGCATCACAAGCCACGTTTACATTACCCTTCAAACTGCAGGAGCTTTAGCATATACAGCATCACAAGCCGTGTTTACATTACCCTTCAAACTGCAGGAGCTTTAGCATATACAGCATCACAAGCCGTGTTTACATTACCCTTCAAACTGCAGGAGCTTTAGCATATACAGCATCACAAGCCGTGTTTACATTACCCTTCAAACTGCAGGAGCTTTAGCATATACAGCATCACAAGCCGCGTTTACATTACCCTTCAAACTGCACGAGCTTTAGCATATACAGCATCACAAGCCGTGTTTACATTACCCTTCAAACTGCAGGAGCTTTAGCATATACAGCATCACAAGCCGTGTTTACATTACCCTTCAAACTGCAGGAGCTTTAGCATATACAGCATCACAAGCCGTGTTTACATTACCCTTCAAACTGCAGGAGCTTTAGCATATACAGCATCACAAGCCGTGTTTACATTACCCTTCAAACTGCAGGAGCTTTAGCATATACAGCATCACAAGCCGTGTTTACATTACCCTTCAAACTGCAGGAGCTTTAGCATATACAGCATCACAAGCCGTGTTTACATTACCCTTCAAACTGCAGGAGCTTTAGCATATACAGCATCACAAGCCACGTTTACATTACCCTTCAAACTGCAGGAGCTTTAGCATATACAGCATCACAAGCCACGTTTACATTACCCTTCAAACTGCAGGAGCTTTAGCATATACAGCATCACAAGCCACGTTTACATTACCCTTCAAACTGCAGGAGCTTTAGCATATACAGCATCACAAGCCGTGTTTACATTACCCTTCAAACTGCAGGAGCTTTAGCATATACAGCATCACAAGCCGTTTTTACATTACCCTTCAAACTGCACAAGCTTTAGCATATACAGCATCACAAGCCGCGTTTACATTACCCTTCAAACTGCACGAGCTTTAGCATATACAGCATCACAAGCCGTGTTTACATTACCCTTCAAACTGCAGGAGCTTTAGCATATACAGCATCACAAGCCGTTTTTACATTACCCTTCAAACTGCAGGAGCTTTAGCATATACAGCATCACAAGCCGTGTTTACATTACCCTTCAAACTGCAGGAGCTTTAGCATATACAAAATCACAAGCCGTGTTTACATTACCCTTCAAACTGCAGGAGCTTTAGCATATACAGCATCACAAGCCGTGTTTACATTACCCTTCAAACTGCAGGAGCTTTAGCATATACAGCATCACAAGCCGTGTTTACATTACCCTTCAAACTGCAGGAGCTTTAGCATATACAGCATCACAAGCCGCGTTTACATTACCCTTCAAACTGCAGGAGCTTTAGCATATACAGCATCACAAGCCGCGTTTACATTACCCTTCAAACTGCAGGAGCTTTAGCATATACAGCATCACAAGCCACGTTTACATTACCCTTCAAACTGCAGGAGCTTTAGCATATACAGCATCACAAGCCACGTTTACATTACCCTTCAAACTGAAGGAGCTTTAGCATATACAGCATCACAAGCCGCGTTTACATTACCCTTCAAACTGCAGGAGCTTTAGCATATACAGCATCACAAGCCGCGTTTACATTACCCTTCAAACTGCACGAGCTTTAGCATATACAGCATCACAAGCCGTGTTTACATTACCCTTCAAACTGCAGGAGCTTTAGCATATACAGCATCACAAGCCACGTTTACATTACCCTTCAAACTGCAGGAGCTTTAGCATATACAGCATCACAAGCCGCGTTTACATTACCCTTCAAACTGCACGAGCTTTAGCATATACAGCATCACAAGCCGTGTTTACATTACCCTTCAAACTGCAGGAGCTTTAGCATATACAGCATTACAAGCCGCGTTTACATTACCCTTCAAACTGCAGGAGCTTTAGCATATACAGCATCACAAGCCACGTTTACATTACCCTTCAAACTGCAGGAGCTTTAGCATATACAGCATCACAAGCCGCGTTTACATTACCCTTCAAACTGCACGAGCTTTAGCATATACAGCATCACAAGCCGTGTTTACATTACCCTTCAAACTGCAGGAGCTTTAGCATATACAGCATTACAAGCCGCGTTTACATTACCCTTCAAACTGCACGAGCTTTAGCATATACAGCATCACAAGCCGTGTTTACATTACCCTTCAAACTGCAGGAGCTTTAGCATATATAGCATCAAAAGCCACGTTTACATTACCCTTCACACTGCAGGAGCTTTAGCATATACAGCATCACAAGCCGTGTTTACATTACCCTTCAAACTGCAGGAGCTTTAGCATATACAGCATCACAAGCCGCGTTTACATTACCCTTCAAACTGCACGAGCTTTAGCATATACAGCATCACAAGCCGTGTTTACATTACCCTTCAAACTGCAGGAGCTTTAGCATATACAGCATCACAAGCCGCGTTTACATTACCCTTCAAACTGCACGAGCTTTAGCATATACAGCATCACAAGCCGTGTTTACATTACCCTTCAAACTGCAGGAGCTTTAGCATATACAGCATCACAAGCCACGTTTACATTACCCTTCAAACTGCAGGAGCTTTAGCATATACAGCATCACAAGCCGCGTTTACATTACCCTTCAAACTGCACGAGCTTTAGCATATACAGCATCACAAGCCGTGTTTACATTACCCTTCAAACTGCAGGAGCTTTAGCATATACAGCATTACAAGCCGCGTTTACATTACCCTTCAAACTGCACGAGCTTTAGCATATACAGCATCACAAGCCGTGTTTACATTACCCTTCAAACTGCAGGAGCTTTAGCATATATAGCATCAAAAGCCACGTTTACATTACCCTTCAAACTGCACGAGCTTTAGCATATACAGCATCACAAGCCGTGTTTACATTACCCTTCAAACTGCAGGAGCTTTAGCATATACAGCATCACAAGCCGTGTTTACATTACCCTTCAAACTGCACGAGCTTTAGCATATACAGCATCACAAGCCGTGTTTACATTACCCTTCAAACTGCAGGAGCTTTAGCATATATAGCATCAAAAGCCACGTTTACATTACCCTTCAAACTGCAGGAGCTTTAGCATATACAGCATCACAAGCCACGTTTACATTACCCTTCAAACTGCACAAGCTTTAGCATATACAGCATCACAAGCCACGTTTACATTACCCTTCAAACTGCAGGAGCTTTAGCATATACAGCATCACAAGCCACGTTTACATTACCCTTCAAACTGCAGGAGCTTTAGCATATACAGCATCACAAGCCGCGTTTACATTACCCTTCAAACTGCAGGAGCTTTAGCATATACAGCATCACAAGCCGTGTTTACATTACCCTTCAAACTGCAGGAGCTTTAGCATATACAGCATCACAAGCCACGTTTACATTACCCTTCAAACTGAAGGAGCTTTAGCATATACAGCATCACAAGCCGCGTTTACATTACCCTTCAAACTGCAGGAGCTTTAGCATATACAGCATCACAAGCCGCGTTTACATTACCCTTCAAACTGCAGGAGCTTTAGCATATACAGCATCACAAGCCGTGTTTACATTACCCTTCAAACTGCACGAGCTTTAGCATATACAGCATCACAAGCCGTGTTTACATTACCCTTCAAACTGCAGGAGCTTTAGCATATACAGCATCACAAGCCGCGTTTACATTACCCTTCAAACTGCAGGAGCTTTAGCATATACAGCATCACAAGCCGTGTTTACATTACCCTTCAAACTGCAGGAGCTTTAGCATATACAGCATCACAAGCCGTGTTTACATTACCCTTCAAACTGCAGGAGCTTTAGCATATACAGCATCACAAGCCGTGTTTACATTACCCTTCAAACTGCAGGAGCTTTAGCATATACAGCATCACAAGCCGCGTTTACATTACCCTTCAAACTGCAGGAGCTTTAGCATATACAGCATCACAAGCCGTGTTTACATTACCCTTCAAACTGCAGGAGCTTTAGCATATACAGCATCACAAGCCGTGTTTACATTACCCTTCAAACTGCAGGAGCTTTAGCATATACAGCATCACAAGCCGTGTTTACATTACCCTTCAAACTGCAGGAGCTTTAGCATATACAGCATCACAAGCCGCGTTTACATTACCCTTCAAACTGCACGAGCTTTAGCATATACAGCATCACAAGCCGTGTTTACATTACCCTTCAAACTGCAGGAGCTTTAGCATATACAGCATCACAAGCCACGTTTACATTACCCTTCAAACTGCAGGAGCTTTAGCATATACAGCATCACAAGCCGCGTTTACATTACCCTTCAAACTGCAGGAGCTTTAGCATATACAGCATCACAAGCCGTGTTTACATTACCCTTCAAACTGCACGAGCTTTAGCATATACAGCATCACAAGCCGCGTTTACATTACCCTTCAAACTGCAGGAGCTTTAGCATATACAGCATCACAAGCCGTGTTTACATTACCCTTCAAACTGCAGGAGCTTTAGCATATACAGCATCACAAGCCGTGTTTACATTACCCTTCAAACTGCAGGAGCTTTAGCATATACAGCATCACAAGCCGTGTTTACATTACCCTTCAAACTGCAGGAGCTTTAGCATATACAGCATCACAAGCCGTGTTTACATTACCCTTCAAACTGCAGGAGCTTTAGCATATACAGCATCACAAGCCACGTTTACATTACCCTTCAAACTGCAGGAGCTTTAGCATATACAGCATCACAAGCCGTGTTTACATTACCCTTCAAACTGCAGGAGCTTTAGCATATACAGCATCACAAGCCACGTTTACATTACCCTTCAAACTGCAGGAGCTTTAGCATATACAGCATCACAAGCCACGTTTACATTACCCTTCAAACTGCAGGAGCTTTAGCATATACAGCATCACAAGCCGTGTTTACATTACCCTTCAAACTGCAGGAGCTTTAGCATATACAGCATCACAAGCCGTGTTTACATTACCCTTCAAACTGCAGGAGCTTTAGCATATACAGCATCACAAGCCGTGTTTACATTACCCTTCAAACTGCAGGAGCTTTAGCATATACAGCATCACAAGCCGTGTTTACATTACCCTTCAAACTGCACGAGCTTTAGCATATACAGCATCACAAGCCGTGTTTACATTACCCTTCAAACTGCAGGAGCTTTAGCATATACAGCATCACAAGCCGTGTTTACATTACCCTTCAAACTGCACGAGCTTTAGCATATACAGCATCACAAGCCGCGTTTACATTACCCTTCAAACTGCACGAGCTTTAGCATATACAGCATCACAAGCCGTGTTTACATTACCCTTCAAACTGCAGGAGCTTTAGCATATACAGCATCACAAGCCGTGTTTACATTACCCTTCAAACTGCAGGAGCTTTAGCATATACAGCATCACAAGCCGTGTTTACATTACCCTTCAAACTGCAGGAGCTTTAGCATATACAGCATCACAAGCCGTGTTTACATTACCCTTCAAACTGCAGGAGCTTTAGCATATACAGCATCACAAGCCGTGTTTACATTACCCTTCAAACTGCAGGAGCTTTAGCATATACAGCATCACAAGCCGTGTTTACATTACCCTTCAAACTGCAGGAGCTTTAGCATATACAGCATCACAAGCCGTGTTTACATTACCCTTCAAACTGCACGAGCTTGACTTAGTCGCATAACAACAGTTAATTGAAACACTGTCATTTTGCAATAGTTTTTTATCGACATTTAGAAAATATTGCAAAAGTTTTGCGCGGATCTGTAATGGAAATGCGGCTAGTGTGTGTGTTTGTGCTCAGTGGGTCGTGTTGATGGTTAATGTTTGTGTTTATGCAGGCCGTGTACGTGACCGCGACCTTCCCGTACCTCGTGCTCACCATCTTTCTGGTGCGGGCCCTTACACTGCCAGGTGCCACCGACGGGCTCCGGTACCTGTTCACACCAGACGTGAGTCTCTCACACACACACACACACACAGCAGGAGTCTCTAGTGCGGGCCCTCACACTGCCAGGGGCCACCGACGGGCTCCGGTACCTGTTCACACCAGACGTGAGTCTCTCACACACACACACTCACACAGCAGGAGTCTCTAGTGCGGGCCCTCACACTGCCAGGGGCCACCGATGGGCTCCGGTACTTGTTCACACCAGACGTGAGTCTGTGTGTGTGAGTGTGTGAGATCTTACCCATAGATCTGACCGTGTGTGTGTGTGTGTGTGTGTGTGTGTGTGTGTGTGTGTGTGTGAGATCTTACCCATAGATCTGCCCCTGTGTGTGTGTGTGTGTGTGTGTGTGTGTGTGTGTGTGTGAGATCTGACCGTGTGTGTGTGTGTATGTGTGTGTGAGATCTGACCGTGTGTGTGTGTGTGTGTGTGTGTGTGTGTGAGATCTGACCGTGTGTGTGTGTGTGAGAGATCTTACCCATAGATCTGCTGACCGTGTGTGTGTGTGTGTGTGTGTGTGTGAGATCTGACCGTGTGTGTGTGTGTGTGTGTGTGTGTGTGTGTGTGTGTGAGATCTGACCGTGTGTGTGTGATCTTGTCTCCTCAGTGGACGCTGTTGACTAATCCTCAGGTGTGGCTGGACGCCGCTACACAGATCTTCTTCTCTCTGTCTCTGGCCTTCGGGGGACTCATCGCATTCTCCAGCTACAACCCCAAGAAGTACGACACACACCGTCTGTACAACACACCGTCTGAAGGGCGGGAAAAATATCGATTCTATTACAGAATTTTTGAGAATTCCAAAGATTTTGGATTCATCACCCTGCTGAATATTAATGTTATCATTTAAATAAATAAAAAATGTCAAAGTCAAAATAAAACACCAAAGCTTAAATTAAATCATAAAAATACAAACTTAAAATGATTGTAAAATATATAAATGTGCCAGTTGATGGGAAACTCGGCGTATTGCAGCCATTGAAACCAGCAAACAAACTGGGTCAGAGATCGCAGATTCCACACAACCTAAAAAGCCTCGATATCAATCTAGAAATCTCTATGAACGAGAGCATATTAAAGCGCGCATAAATCAACTCATCAACTTACAGTGTGTAATGGTGCGTTCACGTGCTATGGTAATTATGGTAAATACCAAAAGCTGACATGGAAAATGCACATGAACACCCCCTCATGTGGTATTTTCCACTGGGCAACTCGTAGAATATTTAGATGCACGAGTTGCCGAGATGAGATTACCTTTGACCTTTTCAAAATGGCGGAGAGCAACGCAAGAGTTGTGAATAGTAAAAATATGTACTATTCATGATCTAGAAAATATACAGCATATATTATTTACGTTTGAGTTTTGATAAATCATTTTCTTGCTGTAGCAGATGACTTAAGTAATCTAAAATAGTTTTAGCTAAATAACAGGTCTGGATCTCCATCTTTTTACCACATTACGACAACAAAAGCACTTGAACGCAACACACTGGTAAATACCAGTTCACAAGTGGAAAATATCATATTTTCCATAGCACGTGAACGCACCATAAGTCTCCCCCGGCTTTCATTGTCCATTGCGCTCGTCGAGTCTGAGGCGGCGGGGAAACAACGATCTCCGATATTTTGAATTTGGACTGCAGTACTTATCTCGACCACTAGCTGTCATTCTTACAGACTGCACCTTTAAAATCATGCATTATGAATATGAAAGGTATATATGTATATATAAGTATATATAGAGGTGCCTATGTGTGTTTCCAACAGGAATGACTGTGAGCGAGACGCTGTGTTTGTGGGATGCATTAACAGCGCCACGTCTCTCTACGCTTCCATCCCCATATTCGCCATCTTGGGCTTCAAGGCCACGAGCAACTTCAACGCCTGCATCGACGGGTGACGCACACACACTGCGTTTACACACCCATAACTGAGTGTTTACACGACTGCGGGGTCTGATTGACAAGGTGTGTGTGTGTTGTGTTCGCAGGAACATCCTGGATCTGACCAACGCCTTCGACATCGAGGAGAAGAACATCACGGCGGAGAACTACGACAACTGGCTGATGTTTCTGAACTCAAGCGACCCGGATAAAGTCTCCGGCCTCAACCTAAAACACTGCGTCCTCAAGAACTTCCTGGATCAGGTAGCTGGCATTACAAGCACGTCTCTTCTGCTCAGAAGATTAAAAACACAGTCAAAATTGTGAAATATTATTACAATGTAAATCAGCTGTTCTCTATGTGAATATACAGTAAAGACTAATTTATTCCTGTGATCAAAGCTGAATTTTCAGTATCATTACTCCAGTCTTCAGTGTCACATGATCCTTCAGAAATCACTCTAATATGATGATTTGATGATCAAGAAACATTTATGATTATTATCGCACAGTCAAAAAAATAAAAACCGGCAGCTGTGGTTGCCAGAAATTTACCGTAAAAAATACGGTAGCAACATTTACATACTTAACTTAAATTTACAGTAAAAAACTGTATTTCACTATCTGATATAATGTTAATTTACAGATCGATTGAAGTACTAATATCTGTTCTGTACTATTGTAATACACTGACAACCACCAATTGGTGTTGACAGCGGTTCATTTATTGTGGCACTGCCCTTATGTGTCTTTTTGGGGTAAAATGTACTTGATTTCAGTGTTGGAAATATTGATGAAAATTTTACATTACTGTGAAAAAATGTTCTTCTAAATGTTCTTCTTTATAGTGTTGTAACTAGTAACCGTTGACCGCTAGTGTTGTAACTAGTAAATGTTGAACGCTAGTGTTGTAACTAGTAACCGTTGAACGCTAGTGTTGTAACTAGTAACCATTGACCGCTAGTGTTGTAACTAGTAACCGTTGAACGCTAGTGTTGTAACTAGTAACCATTGACCGCTAGTGTTGTAACTAGTAACCATTGACCGCTAGTGTTGTAACTAGTAACCGTTGACCGCTAGTATTGTAACTAGTAACCGTTGAACGCTAGTGTTGTAACTAGTAACCGTTAAACACTAGTGTTGTAACTAGTAACTGTTAAACACTAGTGTTGTAAATAGTAACTGTTGAACGCTAGTGTTGTAACTAGTAACCGTTAAACGCTTGTGTTGTAACTAGTAACCGTTGAACGCTAGTGTTGTAACTAGTAACCGTTGAACGCTAGTGTTGTAACTAGTAACCGTTGAACGCTAGTGTTGTAACTAGTAACCGTTGAACGCTAGTGTTGTAACTAGTAACCGTTGAATGCTAGTGTTGTAACTAGTAACCGTTGAACGCTAGTGTTGTAACTAGTAACCGTTGAACGCTAGTGTTGTAACTAGTAACCATTGACCGCTAGTGTTGTAACTAGTAACTATTAAACAACTAGTGTTGTAACTAGTAACCGTTGAATGCTAGTGTTGTAACTAGTGACCGTTGAACGCTAGTGTTGTAACTAGTAACTGTTGACCGCTAGTGTTGTAACTAGTGACCGTTGAACGCTAGTGTTGTAACTAGTAACTGTGTAACGCTAGTGTGTATGCCGTGACTGAGACTCTCTCTCTGTTACCCAGAGTGCTTCAGGAACGGGCCTGGCGTTCATCGTGTTCACGGAGGCAGTGATCGAGATGCCGGGTTCGCAGGTGTGGGCCGTGCTCTTCTTCGTCATGCTCCTCAGCCTCGGCCTGTCCTCCATGTTTGGGATCCTGGAGGGGGCCCTGACACCGCTGCTTGACCTGCACGTGGTGCCCGAGTGGATGCCCAAAGAGATCTTCACAGGTACCACACCTGAGACACGGGCCGTATGCTAATGAGGCTGGCCATATGCTAAAGGGATAGTTCACCCAAAAATGAAAATTAACCCATGATTTACTCGCCATCAAGACATCCTAGGTGTATATGACATTCCTCAGACGAACACAATCAGAGTTATATTAAAAAATGTCCTGGCTCTTCCAAGCTTTATAATGGCAGTGAAATGGCTGATATCACTTTTATGATGGATAGATGCACTTTTATGATGGATAGATGCACTTTTATGATGGATAGATGCACTTTTATGATGGACAGATGCACTTTTATGATGGACAGATGCACTTTTATGATGGACAGATGCACTTTTATGATGGATAGATGCACTTTTATGATGGACAGATGCACTTTTATGATGGACAGATGCACTTTTATGATGGACAGATGCACTTTTATGATGGACAGATGCACTTTTATGATGGACAGATGCACTTTTATGATGGACAGATGCACTTTTATGATGGATAGATGCACTTTTATGATGGATAGATGCACTTTTATGATGGATAGATGCACTTTTATGATGGATAGATGTACTTTTATGATGGATAGATGCACTTTTATGATGGACAGATGCACTTTTATGATGGACAGATGCACTTTTATGATGGACAGATGCACTTTTATGATGGATAGATGCACTTTTATGATGGATAGATGCACTTTTATGATGGACAGATGCACTTTTATGATGGACAGATGCACTTTTATGATGGACAGATGCACTTTTAGGATAGTCAGATGCACTTTTATGATGGATAGATGCACTTTTATGGACTTTTTCAAAAAAATATATCCATTCACTGCCATTATAAAGCTTGGAAGAGCCAGGACATTTTCTAATATAACTCTGATTGTGTTCGTCTGAGAGAAGCATGTCATATACACCTAGGATGGCTTGAGGGAGAGTAAATCATGGGCTAATTGTCGTTTGTTGGTGAACTATCTCTATAATGCTATGCTAATGCAGGTCTGATCTGTGCGGTGAGCTTCCTGGTGGGGTTGATCTTCATGCTGGGATCCGGGAACTACTGGCTGGAGATCTTCAACAGTTACGTGGGATCCGTCCCGCTCCTCGTCATCGCCTTCTTCGAGATCATCGGCGTCGTGTGCTTCTACGGGATAAAGCGGTAGGAAAATTCACCAGTTCAGTTTAAAAGACAGCATTGCCATCAGTGAAAATCATTAAAAAGAGGTCGAAGGAAAAGGTTGGTGGTCTTAAAAATAGATAAACATGATTTTTTAAACAGTTAGTTAAAGCAGCGTTTGCCGAAACTGGGGTTTGTGAGTGGATAAAAACATAAAAATGTAAAATATGAATATATTTTAAAATAAAATACATTAAAGCTGCAGTCCGCAGTTTTCCCTCTTTGTCGCCATCTCTGTCCGAAATCTGCATTTATTCACGGAATTATCAACTTTACGTGGGTTGTGCCTCGGCGCGGCACAGCGCGGATAAATCCGATGTTTGAGGAGAGTGTGTGTCTGTCAGTCGCCGCTGGTCTGGATATTGGCATTCAGAATCACAGATTATTTCAATTTTTTTCATGTGACCATATTAGACATCAGAGAACCGTGATTTTTTTTAAAAAATGTTAACTTATTAAAATAAATTCTTGAAATATGAACTTATCTGAATATTTGAGCTCCTGGTTTCAGTATCAGATGTGTGTAACGGTTTGAGACGGTGTGTGTTCCAGCTTCAGCGATGACATCGAGTTCATGACGGGACGCCGGCCGAACCTGTACTGGCGCGCGTGCTGGATGGGCATCAGCCCCGTCATGCTGCTGGTGGTGCTGGTGGCCTACGTCGCGGTGCAGGTCCAGACACACCCCACCTACCCCGCCTGGAACCCGCAGTATGTGAGTGACCACAGAACCTTCATCAGCTGTTCTGCAGGATCACTGGTGCCACTCAGTGTGCTTATATGAGAGAAGCTGCTCAATTAACGGGTTACCGGGTCGAGGTGGACTTTGTTAAGCAGGCTGGCTCATAATAAACAAGTTAAAACACTAAACATTAAATGAATACACAAAATTGAACATAAATAATTTTATAATAAAAAAAACACTTCCTAAAACTATATCATAAATATAAAATGAAAAAAAAAAAAAAACAGAATATTAAATTAAAATTTTAAAAATGCTAAACTAAAATTATTTTAAAATACAAAAAACAAAACATACCAATATTAAATCATAAAATTAAAGTTAATACATTTAAAATAAAAAAATTAAAATGGAGAAGATTAAATCATAAAAAAGCAAATAAAATTTTCTTAAAATGCTAAACACTAAAATTAAATCATAATTAAAATAAAAAAATAAAACAGCAAAAAAAGCAAAATAATTGATCTTAAAATGCTAAATGGACTTCAATTAATCATAAATATAAAATTAAAATAAATAATTGTAAAATAAAAAACAATAAACCAGAAAATTTTATTAGATCATAAAAAATGCTAAATTAAAAAATATTTTAAAATACAAAACACGTACTAAAATTTTATTATAAAATTCAACTTAATTGTAATTTTTTTTTTAAATAAAGCATAAAAATGCTAAATTAAAAAAATATTTTAAAATACAAAATAAGCATACAAATATTTACCATGAAATTAAAATGAATATTTCAAATAAAAAACAAATTAAAATTAAATGGAGAAAATTAAATCATAATAAAAGTAAATTTAATGATCTTAAAATACCAAATACGTACTAAAATTAAATAATAAATATAAAATTAAAATGAATAATTGTATAAAAAAAAATAAAAAAACCTGAAAATTTAATTAAATCATAAAAATGCTCCCTGTAATCCGGCCTGCAGGAGAAGTTCCCGGAGCCGGAGGTGAAGCCGTACTCGGACTGGGTGTTCGCGGTGTGTGTGTTGCTGAGCTCGGTTCCTGTGCTCTCCATCCCGGCCGTGGCCGTGTACAGACTCATCAGACGACAGACCAGATCCCAGGCGGGACACAGTTACCCGAACCCCTACAGCAACCAGAACCAGAACCCCAACAGCAACCCGGCCTTCACACCCGACGGGCGCATCCAGACCTATAAAGCGCTGTAGAAGACCAGCCTCATATCCTGCAATTCATACGCCAAAATGAGTTTTTACGTGCATATGATACACACTTGATTGTGTGTAATACGCATGTACCCACACACTAATCCTAGCCAAGGGGTCATATGCACGCCACGTAAAGACTCATTTTCGCATATAAATTGCACGTGCTATAGAGACGCATCTAACGACACAATCCCTACAAACTACAATCTCAAGCTCGTCTCATTTAAACCAACAAGTGCCTGAGAAAGACGTTTTAGCCTCTCTGACTTCACTGTATCTGTAAATTATTTAAATTACATAAAAAAATATTAGTGACAAATGTTTGTCCTTAAAGTATGGGGGAAAACCACATCAATGACTTTATTCTGCAAAATGAAACTGAGAATATGAAACGCAAGATTTCTGAGGTGTAAATATCATCTTTACAAAACTCAAAATAGTGATTTTTTAAGTGTTTTAATTTTTTTTATATGTATATATACACAAATATTAAATGTGATATATACATACACTCACCTAAAGGATTATTAGGAACACCTGTTCAATTTCTCATTAATGCAATTATCTAATCAACCAATCACATGGCAGCTGCTTCAATGCATTTAGGGGTGTGGTCCTGGTCAAGACAATCTCCTGAACTCCAAACTGAATGTCAGAATGGGAAAGAAAGGTGATTTAAGCAATTTTGAGCATGGCATGGTTGTTGGTGCCAGACGGGCCGGTCTGAGTATTTCACAATCTGCTCAGTTACTGGGATTTTAACGCACAACCATTTCTAGGGTTTACAAAGAATGGTGTGAAAAGGGAAAAACATCCAGTATGCGGCAGTCCTGTGGGCGAAAATGCCTTGTTGATGCTAGAGGTCAGAGGAGAATGGGCCGACTGATTCAAGCTGATAGAAGAGCAACTTTGACTGAAATAACCACTCGTTACAACCGAGGTATGCAGCAAAGCATTTGTGAAGCCACAACACGCACAACCTTGAGGCGGATGGGCTACAACAGCAGAAGACTCCACCGGGTACCACTCATCTCCACTACAAATAGGAAAAAGAGGCTACAATTTGCAAGAGCTCACCAAAATTGGACAGTTGAAGACTGGAAAAATGTTGCCTGGTCTGATGAGTCTCGATTTCTGTTGAGACATTCAGATGTTAGAGTCAGAATTTGGCGTAAACAGAATGAGAACATGGAACCATCATGCCTTGTTACCACTGTGCAGGCTGGTGGTGGTGGTGTTATGGTGTGGGGGATGTTTTCTTGGCACACTTTAGGCCCCTTAGTGCCAATTGGGCATCGTTTAAAGGCCACGGCCTACCTGAGCATTGTTTCTGACCATGTCCATCCCTTTATGGCCCCCATGTACCCATCCTCTGATGGCTACTACTACAGGATAATGCACCATGTCACAAAGCTCACAAAGCTCGTTTCCTGCTTTGTGATGCTTTGCCAGGCCTTAACTGCAGCTGTCTTCAGTTGTTGTTTGTTCGTGGGTCTTTCTGCCTTTAGTTTTGCCTTCAGCAAGTGAAATGCATGTTCGATCGGGTTGAGATCAGGTGATTGACTCGGCCATTGCAAAATTTTCCACTTCTTTTCCTTAAAAAACTCCTGGGTTGCTTTTGCGGTGTGTTTTGGATCATTGTCCATCTGTACCGTGAAGCGCCTTCCAATCAACTTTGCTGCATTTGGCTGAATCTGGGCAGACAGTATATTCCTATACACTTCAGAATTCATCCGGCCGCTTCTGTCTTCTGTCACATCATCAATAAACACCAGTGATCCAGTTCCACTGGAAGCCATGCATGCCCATGCCATCACACTGCCTCCACCATGTTTTACAGATGACGTGTATGCTTTGGATCATGAGCTGTTCCAAGCCTTCTCCATACTTTTTTCTTACCGTCATTTTGGTACAAGTTGATCTTAGTTTCATCCGTCCAAAGAATGCTTTTCCAGAACTGGTCAGGCTTTTTTAGATCTTTTTTGGCATAGTCTAATCTGACCTTTCTATTCTTGATGCTTATGAATGGTTTGCACCTTGTGGTGAACCCTCTGTATTTGCTCTCGTGAAGTCTTCGCTTGATTGTAGACTTTGACAATGACACGCCTACCTCCTGGAGAGTGTCCTTCACTTGGCTGGATGCTGTGAATGGGTTTTTCTTTATCATGGAGAGGATCCTGCGATCTCTACCACTGTTGTCTTCCGTGGACGTCCAGGCCTTTTTATGTTGCTGAGCTCACCAGTGCATTCTTTTTTTCTCAGAATGTACCAAACTGTTGATTTGGCCACTCCTAATATTCCTGCTATCTCTCGGATGGATTTATTTTGTTTTTGAAGCCTAATGATGGCCTGTTTGACTTGCATGGAGAGCTCCTTTGAACGCATGATGTAGGTTCACAGCAATAGATTCCAAATGCAAATACCACTCTTTGAATCAACTTCAGACCTGTTACCTGCTTAATTGATAAAGAAATAACGAAGGAATAGCCCACACCTGTCCAAGAAACCACTTTTGATTCAATTGTCCAATTACTTTTGGTCCCTTGAAAAAGGGGGCTACTCTCAAGAGCTATAATTCCTAAACCCTTCCTCCAATTTGGATTTAAATACTCTCAAATTAAACCTGAGAGTGTGCACTTTCAGCCCATATCCATTATATAACTATAGCTTGAATATGTTTTGGTAAATATCTGAAAAAAAAAAAATTGTGCCTGTGTCCAAATATATATGGACCTAACTGTATATACAATATTGTATAAATCTTGCTACATATATGTGAACATGTATAATTGTATAAATGCTTGTAATGAACAGAGTGTTTGAGATTCTAGTGTGATCAATGTTTTACCATGTAAAAAGACAAACACCATCATATATTGCAGCATCTGGTCACACATTACAGACGTCAGTGAGTTTCTACATCTCCGCGAGCTCATCTGAAGCGCGGTCACGTCCACAGAGGACACCGGGTTAGTCAGTAACCAGAGTAACGAGTTTACAGCCGCATAAAACTGAGGCTCATCATGTGTGGAAGCTCGTTTCCATTTCCAGGAAACCATTTCAAAGATCATTGCGCAACTGTGAGTTTACATCACAATTATGAGCAAAAAACAACTCAGAATTGCCTGATATAAAGGCATAACTAACATTTTTTTCTTTTTTTTTCTGTGGCAGAAACAAGCTTCCATAATAATAGGACTGAATATTAAACAACATTGCCTGTCAATCAACTCAATAAAAATATCATGTTTTATGATATTATTATATAAACAGTGCATTTCTTCTTAAACCTGTTGAGTTTTCACTGATTCAAGAGTAAAATCGGTGAAATACACATTAAACGTGTGAACGGAGCTGTAATTACTGCTGTAGATGAAAATATGATCATATTAAACTAAATAATGAGTGGGTTCTGCAGGAAAACATGGTCATTTTAGTTGGAATAACCTGAATATAACTCGCTTGTTTTATTTTCTGTATTGAAATATACATTTTAAAGCACAAACAGATGAACATGCAAACATCACACAAACATGAGCGCTCTTATCTCTCGCTGCGATGTACACACAGCTCAGGTGTGTGTAGTGTTTAACGACGAGCCGTCAGCATGGACACACAGCTCAGGTGTGTGTAGTGTTTAACGACGAGCCGTCAGCATGGACACACAGCTCAGGTGTGTGTAGCGTTCAGCACAGCGTCGCCTTCACGCTCTACGCACGGATGCTTGTGAAGTCCTGAGGGATTCTGGGAGTCGAGGCCTGACGAACACGAGCCAGTCTGATGCCGTGGAGCAAACGCTGAAGACGCCTCCGTCCTGAGGACACACACACACACACACAGAAACACACACACACAGAGACACACACACACACACACACAAAGAGACACACACACACACAGAGACACAGAGACACACACACAGAGAAACACACACACACGCACAAACACACACACACACACACACACACACACACACACAAAGAGACACACACACACACACACAGAGAGACACCCACACACACATACACACCCACCCACCCACCCACCCACACACACACACACACAGAGAGAGAGACACCCACACACACACGAATAAAACACCTGACACAGCAAATCATTGGCAAAACTCCTCTACAAACGCTAACGTTACGAAAGAACACTTTGCAGCAGTCCAAGTTTCTGGAAGAATTCTCCATTGCATAAAAGCATAAAATAAGTCAAATACACATTAACAAACATAATAAGTCATTTAAGAGTGTAAAGAGACTCTAAAACCTCTAATGTCTCGACTGTAACGGCGACGTCTCTGATTGGTGGAGTGAGGGCTGTTTGTGTCTTTTGCAGGAATATGGCTTTTAAACATGATTTTTAAAAACTTAAGTTGAAATCACACCAGGTTATTATAATATCGTTAACTAACTACAACTGTTAAAAACAGTTTTGGTAACTGAGATGAAGTTGAAATAAAATATAAATGTGATGAAAAACTGAAAAATGTTCCCAAGGCAATTAACTAAAATACACATAAGAAGCAATTAAAACAATACAATTACGACATTTTTGTAAGTTCGAAATAAATACTAAACTAAAACTAAAATGAAAAAGTAAAATAAAATAAACCTAAATAGTGATATTAAAAAAAACAAAAGCACATAACAAAATTACAAAAAAATAATTAATGAAAAGCTATTTCAATATTAATAAAAACTACATATATTAATCGATATTAATAAAAAATAAAATAGCATATAAATACTATTAATATCTCTTGCTCTCTATAATATATATATATATATATACACACACTGAACAAAATTATAAACACTTGTTTTTCCCCCATTTTTCATGAGCTGAACTCAAAGATCTCAGACTTTTTCTATGTACACAAAAGGCCTATTTCTCTCAAATATTGTTCACAAATCTGTCTAAATCTGTGTAAGTGAGCACTTCTCCTTTGCCGAGATCAAGATATCAAGATGCTGATTACACAGCAGGATTATTGCACAGGTGTGCCTTAGGGCTGTCCACAGTAAAAGGCCACTCTAAAATGTGCAGTTTTACTGTATTGGGGGTCCGAAAAAAAAAAAGGTTGTTTCAACATTCAACAACCTTTTTTTTTTTTTACCTTTTAATTTTGTTAAGTGTATATTATTTGCCAACATTTCTCATTTTTGTTTAGTTTAAGTTGAAATACTAAATTTACTTAAATAAAAATCAATAAAAAGTAAGTGGTTATTACATTTAAAAAAAATACAATTTAGTCAAATTAAAATAAAAACTGAACAAAAAAATAGAACCATTTCAAAATACGAATAAATCCTATAATAGTATCTCAACGACACGAAAATAACACTGCTATTACGGCCTCAGCACCCATAATGCAACAGTGACCTCATTCCACACTAAACAACAGATTTAGGAGTTAGACGTACGTTTGCGCAGTGGAGGAAGCAGACTGCGATAAACCCAGCGATTCTGTGTGAACACGACCTCAAACGCCACACAGAACAACATCTGAACGGCCTCGTACTGGAGAACGCCTCCACCGTCCAGCGAACCCAGAACCAGACCTGAGGGAGGACAACCTGTCACTCACACGAGATCAGCCAATAGCAGACCACAACCATCCAATCAGTTCCTCACAGACACAATCAAGCCCCGCCCACATCTGTTCTTGTTCCAGAAGCGTTTCACTCGATATACGTCACAATAGAGGAAAAAAAAGAGCAGCCAGGGTTCATACAGATACTGTAAAACGAAATTCCACGACTTTAAATGACTTTAAGCTCTACTTTTTTGGTTTTCAAGGACTACAATCAGAGATCGCACTTATCAAACAATATCTTTAGAATTTTTTTACAGATATATGGTATCCAAAATACAACTTACAACATATTTAATAATATAAATACAAAGTTCATAATGGCTATTATTGCTCAATAAATAACATTTTATATTATAATATTGGCGTACTCTATATGGAGAAAAGGTCTGATGGGTATATTGCCTGAAAAGATTTTATACGTGTTTTTTCGAATAAATAAATTTCATATATACTGTATTTAAATAAGTCAAGCACTTTTCAAGCACCTCTTCGTAAATATGGCCGTTTTCAAGGGTTTTCCAGGACTTACATTTAAAAAAGTCAAGAACGTGAAGCACCGTGTACGAACCCTGACTAGCGTAACTTCTGTTTCATGCTAACGTTAATGTCACTAGCGCTCTTGCCTGTGTTTGTGTGTCTGATGAGTTTATTCATGACTCGAGCCATCGTCCAGATCATCTTCAGGAAGAAGGACGGGTTTGTCTCCACATTCTGACCCAAAGGCAAACTCTTCACACACGCATGAAACCTGCAAACACACACACACACACACACACACACACACACACACACACACACACACACACACACACACACACACACGCACACGTTCACACTCGTTGGGCTGATGGTTATTGTGGGTCGTTTTCTGCAGTTTAACGCTCACTTTCACACAATCATTCACCACTAAAGATTCACACACGGTTATGCAGATATTTGTTCTTGTTAAACTTTTGCCACCAGGACAGAGCAGCTTCACGACTGTTTAAGAGTCTCTTCCGCTCAACAACGGCGCATTCATTTGATGAAAAACACTGTGAAAACAGTGAAATATTATTCTAATGTAAATCAGCTGTTCTCTATGTGAATATACAGTAAAGTGTAATTTATTCCTGTGATCAAAGCTGAATGTTCAGCATCATTACTCACACACTCACTCACTCACTCACTCACACACTCACTCACTCACACACACACACACACACACACACACACACTCACTCACTCACTCACTCACTCACTCACTCACTCACTTATTTGAAACAGAATCTTTTGTAACATTATCACTCACTTATTTGAAACAGAATCTTTTGTAACATTATAAATGTCTTTACTGCCACTTTTGATCAATTTGATGTGTCCCTGATGAATAAAAGTATACACAGTTGTTTACCTGAGCGCCTGCAGCAGGATCAGCTTATATGAGCTCCTGTAAACGGCTTCCACTGAATTCATCTGGGGAAAAGATCACACACACGTGAAGATAACCCCTGATTCTCTCAGACAGACTCCTCTAACACCACACATGAATAATAACCAGAGTCAGACTGTAACATTATTCATTTTTCAGTTCTTAAAAGATCACAACACCACTTTTTTTAGCGGCGTTGGTTCCGGAAGTATGTGTGTATTTACATGCATCCATTCCCCTATGGAGAAAACTAACTGATGCTGCACTCTATGAAAATCACAGCCAATCAGAACGTATTTGGTGTTTAATATGCGGAATTGACGTTCGCAAAGACCCGCCCCCTTTAGTTACTGTTGCTATGTCAGACAAGCCACGCCTCTCTCACGCCACATGTTCTCACGCAGGGAAACACACATCGGGGAGCAGAGAGACTGACAACACACTGACAGACAAGCTTACTTTATAAGTCTCAACTATCAAATTTGGTCTTTTTTTTTAAGAAATTTAAACAATAAATAGCGTTTTGCGTCTCTTTAATGTGTCGTGACTCGTGACAGATCGCTCAGTTAAAGCTGCTCGTGAACCGATCATCTCTTCCTTCTAGTTCACTTACAGAATCAAATAAACATGGATGAACATCAGAAGGAATGTTGTTTTAACAGCAGAAAGACGTCAGTACACTTTTTTTCTTTCACGTTCAAATCCTCAAACGTTGATCTACTAACTCTCCTGACTGCTTTGTCGGACAAA